TATATTTTTATTTTGAAATTATTTAATTAACTAATAATTTGTATTTGTACGTCAAATTAATTTGAATGTATAAACATAAAAGCGAAAGCATATACTTTTTTTTAATCAAAAATTTTCTCTAACGTAGATAGCATCGCAATAGTTAATGAGAAATATGTCTGTGTCTTATCTTAACTTAGCATTATTTAATAGACATATATATGATATATGAGGTATTGGGACACGTACTTTTATCTTTCCGAAGTCTTGACGTGACCTTCTTAAGCTCTGCATAGATACAATCTTCTATGACTATTAATGGTTTGTACTTTCAATTTTTTCGTTTGACACGGTTTTTGTTTATTGAAAGACTTTTATGAAGTAATCCTTAATGAGTTAAATTATTTAAATACTTTTTCGATTGTATTCACATGTTTTGTATCTCATAATAAAATGAAAAATGTGAAATATTCATCGAATTTTTAACACTGATTTTAATGTATTTCAAAGACATGCAATTGAATATTTATTTTCATGATTTGTCTAAGCTATTAGTTAATTAAATTATTCAATTCTGTATTCTTCCATCTAAAAATAGAAACATCAATGTACAGAAAAAAAAACTGTGTTGACCGTATGTTATCAAATTGATTTTCTAATAAAAGAACTGATACATCGTATGAAATAACAAGAACAAAAAAGAATATAAAAGTTAGAACCATAACAAGAAAAATTATGTCAAATGAGATGCTATGGTGTTAAAGTAAAGAAGTCTATGTACCATTCGTTATACGTAAATCATTTGTACTTCAATTTTCATTTCAGTTTTAAAAAAATCTAATTTACAGAATGAACAATTATATTAGTTTTCTCTACGCATTTAGTCATTGTCTGCATATTTGTCATCAGAATGTTACCCTTTAAGATCCACTTTTGTAAAGTGTTTAGTTTCTTTTCTTTATCTATGTATATCATTACTTTTTATGGAATCTAGATAATTTTTTTCAAAGAAAAACATAGTGAATGAAAGTTTCAGGTTTGAAGTTTTACTGTTTTCAAACATATAGCTGGGAATACGGATGAGGGAAGGTCAACGATCATTGGACTGGTATAATTAACAAGGCTTAGCCTGTTGTAGAACGTTTCCAAAATCTTACCCGAAATTTGAACGGCATGAATAACATTAAATATGTGAACTGTACAAGTTATAACTCTATGAAATAATCAATATTAGTGTTTGTTAGCTTATTGAAATATTTATTAGTGGATTGAGATCTCTTGTACATATAATGGATATATACAACAGGCTTGTTTGTTAATTGAATTAATGGTTATAATAATAATAGTCATGTTAAAATAAGCAAAACGGCATAGAAAAATGAACAACAATGAGCAAATGGCAACTGGACAAACAAAATATAGAGTGTCAGTCACAAAAAAAAAGAAAAAATTTCTGTTTGAAATACAAAACTAAACTGACGACCGATTAATCTTTAGAAAATAACTATAGTCAGTCCGATAGAAATTTTTCACTTTACGTATTTTGCATTACTATAATGAGACCAAAGAAAACATATGAGTTTCACATTTTCGTGCCAAAGGAACTATACTGAGAAGACTTTTTCTTTTTAAAGTTTTTCACTTCTATGTCTATACATAAAATAAAAATAATCCCGTAAATGATCTCTAATGATAAATAATGTAGCAAGTAATTAGTAACATGTGTTTCTTTGTAGCATATTGAAATAAAAATAAATAATTGCTATAGATGATACGTATCAAAATATGAACAAGTATCGAGTTGATCTTGTGACCAGAAATGGCCGTCTCCAAAAAGTCGGCTCGTTAGATTTTACTACATGAATTAACGTCACCTGTTTGTATTTGACGACAGTGATGATGTAATTTCGGTGTTCTCTTTTCTTCATCATCGAATAGTTGAAGTACACATCAATATTGCACCATAAATTTGATTACAGAAAAGAAACTACACAATATTACATCATACTTTTACTTCATCTTTTTGATTCAACGAAAATCATACAGTGACTTCTTCCTTGTAAAAAAAAGGTATTTAAAGAAAGGTACAAAGCATTAAAATCATTTTTCACGAAACACACAATGTCTTCGAAACAACAATCGGCTCGACAATCACAAAACTCATCACCTCTACCAACACAAAAACCAATACGATCATTGGTTGTCTCAAAAGTTTCATTCGATTTAGATGAAGCAAAATTATTACGAGATCTAGGACATAATTATTTAGGTGTCGAAAAAGTTTCTCGACTCCATGATAAAGATGGAAAACCGATTGCTTCCATTCGAATCGATTTCAAATCAGAAAATTTTGTTTTGAAAATAATCGATGGTGGATCTATTCTCATTGATGGTAAAAAATGTCCTGTTCGACCATATTGGCCACAAATTTGTCATCGATGTCAAAATGAAGGACATTATGCTTCTGAATGTCCTCAAAAACCTTTAACTGAACAGCGTGCTATGGAGATATTCAAGCAGCAAAAAACGTAAGTTCTTGAAAATAATCTCATATGATTTATCTCGCGCTCTTTTCATTCTATATAGAGAGCTCGAAACAATGATTAATGACTTCGAAAAAAAATGGAATGCACGTTTTCTATCGTTGACAACGCTATCGACAGATGTCAATGTTAATGAATTATTACTAACTTTTAAAGATCTAAAGACAGTTTGTCAACAAGTTAATCAACAAAATATTCAAATGGAAAGACAACTTCGTTCCATCGTGAATCGAGGAAATGACGTACAAACTAAATATAATAATGCACAAGCACAGCAAACATAATCATAATAGTCATTTTAATTTCAACGTTAAACGAACAATCATGAGTAGACAAATGTACGATTTGAAGAAAAAAGAACTAGTTCAAGTTTTTTCAGAAGTCATATAACGAGTGAACTTTTCTAGTCGAGATATATTTCACTTTTGTAGTATTTTTTTAAATTTATACTTCTATATAATAAAGAATATGAATATAGTTTTCATGAAATACGTTCTATATTTATGAAAAAAATTTGACGAAATATTAAGCTAACACTAAAATTATGTCGATAGTTCAAGCAGTTTCTTAGTAATCAGACAATCATGAAAGGAAACGACATAAAAAGCGGATGTCTATTAACACTGAAAACCTTTTAAAGTTGCATGATCACTATAATTTTAGAAAAATGCTTTTGGATTATGCATATCGATTATGATTGTTTGTGTGTAAATGCACAAGTAAAATGGAATTTAAGAACTGCTTAAATATGTGAAAATATATATCGATGATAAGAATGTTTCATACAAATAAGATATTGCTTAAACACATTCTAATTCCTATCGACTAAATGATTATTGTTGATTTCAATGATGGAGTAAATCAATCGTCAAAACTAAAGATGTCAAGGATGATGGGCAGTGATAGATTGATTTGCTACATTCATCATATGATCAGCATAAAAACATCAACGGATCAAGTTATTATTCTACTTATGGGTAACGTATGGTTCGAATTCATAGTATCAAATAATTGAGTGATTTCATTTAAGATCATCTATTTTAGTTTCACACATTTTTTATTATAAAAAACAACATGAACTTTTACAAAAATACTGAATTCGAATTTTCATCCAGAGAAAAAAAAAAGATTTAATCCGAAGCAGTGAAATCATTTAATAACGAGGATTTCTATACCGCAAAAAAAAAACACTTCTTGTAAAAAAAAAAGAAGGTTTCATGAGTTTCAGCTCGAGCTGAAAAATCATCAAAACTTTGAACCAGGTCATGTTTACCTCATTAATCCTTATTTCTATGAATAGTTGCTATACATGATGTTGTCTAGAAGAATGAAATAATTCTCAGCACCACGTCATCTTATTGTGCAAAATCTTCGAACTATTCATAGAAATGAATGACGCGAACGTCAGACTATGTTGAAATTCTGACTTTCGTAAAGAAAATATTTTGTTTGTTTCCAATGTAAGTTGATCCGCGAAAGATACCGCTTTTGTATCAATAGTTAACAATTCATCTGTATCACTCATTGTTGATATTGCAGTATGAGTAGTATTCGTTCCAATTGTAGCATCCGATCGATTTTTTTTCTTGTAACAGTTCTTAGTTAATAGAAAAATAAATTATACTTTGAAATGAAAAAATAAACTGTTGGGAATAAGACTTTTTAAAGTAGATCGTCTAATAAAATAATCATCGTGTACTAACAAAAAGACAGTTTTCAATTCTCAAATCATCTGTGAATTTCAACAATACGGAATATGAAATATTCATAGAAGCGTCATAGAACTTCGTGAAATACAATAATATAGAGCGCCATCTCTTCATTCAAACAGCAAATGAAAGACTGGATGTTCGATCGAGCAATGAAAATTATAGATATGTACATAATTTCTTTTATTTCAATGCTAGTTAGTTGGTAGCAGATTAGCTTTTTAAAGAAAGTTCAATACACGATTAAAATGGAATGAATCTATTCAAGTAAACTATTTTAATGTATTTCTTACGAAATAGTTATTTCACTTTGTCTATAGATCGCTTTATGTTTTCATTAGCAAATTATGAACTTAAATCAACGTGCAACATATGATATTCTTGTTGACTCAAATCGATCAACAAAATTCAATGTTTTAAATAATAGAATATTTATTTATTTTTTTTAAGAACTTGAAACATGTTGATCAATAGTATTAACTGATTCTGATAGAACATTTATTATTGGTAAGTTTTATCTATCTTATATAATAAGCCATGCTGAAAGTCTTTGAAAAATCAATTACTAAACAATCGATTAGCAAATTCTCTCTTGTAATGTTCTCTCTGCTAGAATTTTGGTCTTTCAAACAAAAAAATAGTTCGAGTCAATCTGATGTTATATTGTTGAAAAATAAATTTCGACATTCTTCCAAAGATTTTTCCATTGGATACTATTTAGCTTTGCTTTTCTACTTGCACATAATTAGATATTGATGCAAAATATTTATCGATTATGTTTAATGATGAATGCAATAATATAGTCTAAAAGGAAATGTATCATCAATAGACTATACAGTTAAGGCCCTCCCCCTCAAAAATCGATCTCTGGTCAAGAACATCCAAATTCCATGAAACTTTCAGGATATGTTGGGGCTGGTGAGCCATGGCTATGGTAAAATTTTCAGCCCTATAGCACGATGTTTAACAGAAATATTCACCAAACAAGGGGCCAAAATAGCCAAATGNTCAAGTTTTCTCTGTGGGCCTTCATTCTAGTCATTTAATTCTTTTTTTTGTTTGAAAGAGCATGTCAGAATGCAGCGCCTCTCGTGGCCTTTTTTTTAAAATTCTTACCTTTTAAGCGGAGAAAAGGAATGACAAGTTCAATGACTAAAAAAAAATCCCTAAAAAAATGGCGCTGTTTCTATAGAGATGTTCTCTTATATGATACTAAAAGAGCTTATTTTAGAAAAAGGGCCACGAGGGGCGCTAGCCATAGACACAAGCTTTCAAACAAAAAAAAGTATTTGACTTTACCTCTTACTGTGATAGAGTTCTGCTGGAGATGCGTCGTTGAACCCACGTTCTGAGAAAAATGATTTTCGGTTTTTTGGAAAACGGGCCGGTTTTT